GCCCCAAGGGCCATCAGAAGACTCCTGCTCCCAACCCCGGGGGCCACCGCGGGTCTCCCCTTCCCCAGCCTCGAAGCCATTGGGGTCCCACCAGCCCCCCCAGGACTACGGCAAGTCTCCGGGGTCCCCCTGTCCCCATAGTTCCCGCGGGTTCCTCCCCAGCCCCGAGGACCCACGGGGCCCACCCGCCAGTGCCAAAGCGCCCGATCCGAGGCGGAAGGAAGTGCTAGTATTTATTGTTCTCCCCGAGACCGCGTCGCCTCCGGCCCGGCCGGCATCGCAGCGTAGACGACCCGAGAGAGCCCCGCCCGCACGCCGTGTAGATGCGTGTAGATAACGTGTAGATTCTGTAGATACCGCGCCGGCGCCGACTGGATAAACGGTTTCGCCTCTTTTCCAAGCTGCCTGCGCGTCCTTTTATTTGCGCCCACCTTAGATCGGGCCGGGAATCTCCGAGAGCGGGAGTCACCGGACACTTGCCAATTTCGGAGTCTCCATCTCCCCAGCCCGGACGAGGCCCTGGGAGGCTGGGAGGCTGGGAGGCAGGGAGCCGGGTGGGGGGGCGGGGGAGGCGCGGGGTCCCTGCGGTGCTCGCCCCACCTCCTCCCCATTCTTCTGCCACCTCCTCAGGGCTCTCTCCTGCCAATCATTCACCCCCCCCTCCCCCAGGACTGGCAGTTATCAGTCCCACCTTTTAAATTCTGCACACCTGCAGTTGTCTCCATTCTAGGACTTGGATTCCCCAGTCCTGACTTCTTTCCCAGACCTATGCTTTATTATGCAAACTGAATAATCGTCATAACAGCCTGGGAGGAAAGAAACCTTTGACCTGGATAGGATTGTGGAAAGACAAAAGACAGGCAACTGTCCTGTTCCCCTGGCCTGGCCCCAACCCAGGCCTCCTTTTCCCCCTGTTTATTGACTTTGTTCGCTGTGACTGCCCCCACAAAGTGACCTGGACAGGGGGGATGCACAATGACAGTGGTCATGAGTCATCTCAAAACCCGTCGGTGAAGCATTTTTTCCCAGGCCAGGTGGCTGAGGGACGTCTCCCCATGAACTCAACACCAGGGATGGGCCCTAGGAGCCCTTTGATCCCTCCCTTCCTGAATCCAAGCAGGAAAAGCTGACCACCAGTCAACATCAAGGCCAACTTGGACGTGATGAACAGGAAATGCATGTGGCCAGGTTCTGTCCAGACTCTCTCTGTCCCAGGGTGTTTGTGGCAATCCTGCTTCCCAGGCCACCTGGCTCATCACTTCCTATGTGGCAGTGGCATCCTGAGTGGCGCCTCTCTAAGGGATAGACAGGCATTTCCAGAAGTTGACCCTGGACCAAACCCATCCTGATTGTATTTTCTCTCTTGCTCTCAAGTTACTGAGGGTTTACTAATTGGAAAGCAGGACCTATTTTCACGAAACTGGTCTAGGAGGGGAAGGGATAAGCCTCAAGGGACACCTAGTATCTAGCACTCCATTGCATCTGCCCAAGTGGCCAGCAAGCTCCCTGGACACATCCTATGGACAGTAATATCCATTCGTGATCCTGGATCCCACCCTGCCCTCAGCTTTAGCTCTCCTTATGCCTGTGATAATGGCTTCTGTTTGGGATAGCCAGTTACCCATTTGCAGCCTCCTCTTGTGTAGAAGGCCAGCAACACCAGGCCTATAAAGACTGACAGGCTGGAGTTTGTCCTGCAGAGGGCGCTGGGCAGTGTCAGGCCTCCCCCTCTCTCCAGTGGAATGCAGCCATTCCACATCCTTTCAACCGGCCGGGGATCCCTGGGGACATCAGTGGGGAAGAGCTGTCATTAGAGAGACCTCTGCTTTAGCTTTGTTCAGAGCTGAAGCTGTGAGCTGTCCCTTGAATGAATAACAGTGCCCAGTGTTACGAGTAGGGGCAGAACATACCACGAAGAGACTTCGAGTGCGCAGCTTACAGGTCTTGTGTGGATGTCCCTGAGCACTCTGAGATGGCCAATCAAGATGGGGAACTGCCCTGCTGTTCAACTGGGCCACTACAGTCAGGTCCCTCCCCAGCTCAATTCCAAGTACTGGATAGCTAAGTACTGAAGATCACCATCCTGGAAGAGACAAACTCAGCTGCCCTGCACTGGGATAACAGCTCCCAAAGGCATATAGCTTGTTTTCCCTTGCTCCACCCACTCCTGGTGGGTTTGGATTTTTAAATGAGAACAACCCTGGCAGTCAGCTTCAGAAGACCTGCTCACACCCCTCCTTCTTTCCTTCTTACTCCCTTCCCACTCTTTCTTTCTTCTCCCTTCCTTCATTGCTTCCTTTCATGCTGGTATTGGGGGGGAGGGGAGGAAGGAGGCTTGAATTCAGGTCCTGAGCACTGTCCTTCAGCTTTTTCACTCAAAGCTGGCACTCTACTACTTGAACCACAACTCCATTTCTGGTTTTTGTTGTTGTTATTTTTGTTGGTTAATTGGCTATAAGAGTTTCACATATTTTCCTACTTAGGCTGGCTTCAAATCTCCATCCTGAGATTTCAGCCTCCTGAGTAAGATTACCTGAGCCATCAGCACTAGGTTCCTCCATTTCTTTTTATTTTTTTGGGGGGTCTGGTCGTGGGGCCTGAACTCTGGGCCTGGGCGCTGTCCCTCAGCTCTTCAGCTCAAGGCTAGCGCTCTACCACTTGAGC